GTTTACCTAAGGAGCATACCTTTCTGACGTAGAAATCTTTTAGTTAGTTCATAAATGTGTTTCTCATGATTGATGACAACATGAAAGAAAGAAAAAAAGAATAAATGAATGTGTAAATGACAAACTGAATGAATGAATAAATGAATGAATAAATAAATGAATGAATGAATGAACGAACGAACGAACAAACGAATGAATGAATGAACGAGCGAACGAACGAACGAATGAATGAATGAATGAATGAATGAATGAATGAATGAATGAATGAATGAATGAATGAATGAATGAATGAATGAATGAATGAACGAATGAATGAATGAATTAATTAATTAATTAATTAATTAATGAAGGAACGAACGAATGAATGAAGGAACGAACGAATGAATGAATGAACGAACGAATGAATGAATTAACGAACGAATAAATGAACGAACGAACGAACGAATGAATTAACGAACGAACGAAAAAACGAACGAAAAAACGAACGAAAAAACGAATGAACTAACGAACGAACGAATAATGCTTGAGTGAATGAACGAATAAATGTATGAATGAATGAAAACATGGACGAATGAATGAATGAACGAAAGGACGATTGATTGAATGAGTGAGTGTTTATTTATTCATCGAGTTGTCAGCGCAATTGCTTATAATTTGAAGGCCGATTTAAATCTCGAAATGTGAAAATTAATTTTTATAAATATTTGTAAATAAATTTGAATGTATTTATAAATGACACACACACATACACAAACACACACACACACACACATGTATGTACAAATACACAAACACATACAAATTCACACAGAAAGAAACATAGGGAGACAGATAGACAGGTACATTGTACATAAAATATTTTACATGTCTGAAAACATGGGACAGAAACACACAAGCATAAACCGTAGAGATACTAGCATACGCATACACACACACATATGCACATATATTTACTCACACATACACACACTCACACATACACGCACACTCACAAACACACACACATTTTTCAAATGTCCTAAAACATAACTCGGCATTTCTCAGTCGGAATATATTGTAGCAGTAGCTATCTTCAGAGTAAAGATGTTCATTATCATTGCATACCACACACACACACACACACGCACGCACACACACACACACACGCATATATATATATATATATATATATATATATATATATATATATGCGTGTATATATATATATATATATATATATATATATATAAACAACAACAAAAATAATAATAATAATAAATAGTGAGTAACAATAATAATTGCAACATTTTTCTTCGTAATCAGTTTAACTTAACCACATAAGTTTTATAGAGGAGGTCTCATTAGGCAGAGTTAGAATTGGACTGTTTTTATCCGCATTATCTTATCTACGCTCTGACGCACACAAAGTTAAGATAACGCCGAGTAGATGAGTCGAAAGTTTCAAAACATATTACTTTTGTAATTAATCAATAGTAATGACGAGGTTATTATTATTTATTATTGTTATTATTATTTTATACCCCTCTTGTTCTCTCTTTCATTTTTTCATTTTCTCTCTCTCTCTCTCTCTTTCTCTTTCTCTCTCTCTCTCTCTCTCGCTCTCTTTCTCTCTCTATTTCGTCATCTCTTAATCTTGTCTCCTTTATGCCTGGTTGTTGCTCATTGTTTAATCTGTCTATTATTAAACATCCGGTGTTTCTGTTGTATTTTTTTCTTTTTAAGTACATGTGGAACGTTCGGTTTGTTAGGATGGTTAACTGACTATGCCACAATTCTATCATTCTAAATTTTTCACATACCAAATTAACCCAAATTCATCAATCCAAATTCCAAACCAATTCCAAAGTGCCGAAACATTATTGAATGAATATTTTGAAAGAGTTTCACCGTACGAGACAAACAGCATTAATAAAAATTACCAATAATTCTTTAGCCAAACATTCAAATTTATCCAAAGAAAAAGATTTTGTATAAAGGATAATTTATGAAGCTTCTGGAATGTTCTTTACGGGTTGTGGAATGTTCGGAGAGCAAAGAAGTAACAGCAGCAGCAGCAATGCATGGTTCGCAATTCCGTGAATGAAACCTGAAAGTTAATTCCGAGAAAAAATATGAAAAAATAGAAAAATTGTCGTCAGCAAAAAAAATTTTTATTTCTTTACGTGGGAACAAATTTGTTTTCGCAAATTTTATTCTAAAATTTTTTATTTTTATTTAATAATAAATGAGTTTTTTCGTGTTTTATTTCAGCAAAAATAGGCAGAATTAATTGGATAAAAAGAACGATAAATGTATTATGAGATGCTTATTTAGATATAGTTTAATTTTAATTTCAAAAAAGTTCTGCACTAATTTTTTCTACCTTCAAAGCAAACACATAAACTCACATACACACACACACACACACCACACACACACACACACACACACACACACACACACACACACATACATATATACACACACTTTTATTCATTTATTTATAAACACGGACACACCGACACCTAAGCAAGCACACCTACACATATGCACACTTTCACACACGCACACACATGCACACACGCACACACACAACTACAGCCACACAATCATCCGCATTTGAATGTTATTTTTATGTATTGGGGCTTCACGATTTTTATCCAAGTATGTCCTTCTTTAGATTAGGGTAATGGTGTAAAATTGTTATCAACTAGTCCTCTAAGAAAACTTTTGATAGCGATTGTGAAGTTTGTAATACTCGGAGTGGTGTGGTGTGGTGTGGTGTGGTTATGATAATGGCGTGTAGGTGGTGGACAGATGGCGATGATGATCATGATAAAAATCATGATGATAAATAATAAATAAATAATAACAATACGCTATAATGCACGTGTGTACATTAAGCCAGGTTACAGTGTTAACGTGACTGTGGCAGCTTTAAATTATTCATTATATTGTTTTCAAAAGTATTCAAATCTTTTGCATCAATTGCATCCAGAGATAAGTTATTCCAATTGTTGATTATATACGATTTGTAAAGAACTTCTTTCGGCGGTTTTCTTTTTCAACTTTTTCCCTACGTAATCTTTTATTACGTCCTCTTGTTCTTCGGTCAAACACGAATATCGGTTCATTGTGCCAGTTTATTACATCTGTGCCACTTATAAATTTACAAATTTGAATGTTAGTTTTGACGACGATTAAATGATAACAATGACGATGATGATAGGATGATAATGATAAAAGCGATGATGATGATTGCGATAATGAGGACGTTGATGATGATGAGAAGACGACGACGATGATGAAGACGATGATGAAGATGATAACAAAAATAGCGATAGGGTATTGATAATGTGGTTAACAGTGGTGGAGTTGTGATCGAATATGATAAGGATGAATGATGATGGTGATGACGAGGATTGTTGGAAGGTTAACGATTATAATGATAACTATGAAAACGTCTTGCTTCTAGAAGCTTGGGTCAAGATTGAATCATTGGTTATAAGGATGATTATATAAAAAATGATAAATGCTGCGGAAACTGAATGCGGATGATTATGATGGCGAATATGGATATGATGATGATGATGATTAAAATGGATATGATGATGATTAAAATGATGATAATGATGAAGATTAAAATGATAATGCTGCTGATGATGACGTCAATGAAGATAGTTAAAACGAGAAAACTGATGATGAGAGATGTAGAAAATGTTATTCGTGCTAAAATTAAGATGAAATTTGTCGTGATGATGATTTTGACGAGAATGATAAACAGATATCATTTTTCAAAATGATATCATGAAAGGATAGTGCATCTTTTGTGATATATCTTTTAATATGAGATATGGGTGTCGATATGATATCTTTCAATATGGGATATGAACATGATGTATTCTTTGATAAGGATTATAAACGTGATATATTATTTTGTATGTGGTATCACCGTGATACATTTCTTAATTTGGGATGATATACGTGATATATGCCTTGATATGGGATATGATATCAAAATGGTGTATTGAAAATCATATCTGAGCATGATAGTATTTTTTTTAGAATTTCTTGGAAACATCTTCTTAGATCAATAAATAAATAAATAATTAAAATGTACGTAAGCGTCTTTCGGTATCCAGTTGAATTAACTCCATTATAAAAGTCATTAAAATTTTAAGCACAACTTCGAAGAAATTTATTTTTGATTTTCGTATAGAGATAAATTTTTTTTTTACAATATTCCTCATACATAAACGATATTAAACTTTGAATGCAAAATCTTCCTTCAATATGAAACGCAAGGACATATCTGCTGCTTAAAAACATACATTCACACACACACCACACACACACCCACACACACAAACATACGCACACAGACAAACACAGACAAATACACACACACACAAACATACACATAATCACTTGACGTCATCATAGCGAGCAAGAAGACTTGTTTACGTGGTTATTTCTATCTTGAAGTCTTTCACCTCAAAGTTTTATTATGTGAGTGTGTGTGTTTGTGTGTGTGTTTGTGTGTGTGTGGTGTGTGTGTATGTGCACGTGTGTGTATGTGTGTCTTCATTTACAACATTATGCTGCCTTGGCTAGCTTTGAAGATTTAAAAAAAGACATTCATTCTTTTTCTTTCACGCACATTCAATAACACGCAGCTTTCACAAGCTGCATGCTTCTAACACAATGTGCTATAAAAAGATTATGCTAATATTTAATAAGAATACACCAGATTTAGGTGTTTTTCTAATTTTATTGTGTTATTGCTAATGTGTTGTAGTGCTATGTGTCACATGCGTGTGTGTGTATGTGTAAAAAAAGGATAGAAAGTGTGTGTGTGTGTGTATGAATGGGGAAATAGAGAGAAAGTGAGAGAGAGAAAGAAAGAGAGAGAGAGAGAGTGAGTTTGTATGTGCATGTGCATCTGTCCGCATAATGCTTCAAATAAATTATAACCTCACAAATGTCCACAACTCCGTAGCGTAGCTAACACACACACATTCACACACACACACACACACACATACACATACACAAACACACACACACACGCATACATACATACATACATACATACACACACATACATAACAAAAATCGATTATTGTCATACTAGCATCGCCTGCATGTTTTGAAAATTATTTCATCATTGTATGAAGGAAAAATTCAGCCTTCTAATTGATGGTTATACGATCTTGGTGGATTAGATAACATCGAATGATCTAGAAGGTATGTTGTTAAACATTATAGAATAAAGCAAAAATAAAGCAAAAATAAACTTTGTTTATCTAAATTGCACAATCAATTATTATCAATTGGAGATTATATGTTGAAGCGTATTTAAGATGAACAAACATTTATTAATGTTGAAATGTGGTTATATTTATCCTAATAATGTCTGTCTATATTTTGTTATTTATTGTTTTAGTGGAATCAATCCTAGGTAAGCATTTATTGCTAGGCTGACTTTTCACTTTTTTGTGAATAAAATGAATTTAAAAAAATATACTAGATGCATTAATTCATTGAATGATTGTAAAAAAAAACTTCAATGGATACTAACAAAACGCATAAGCCAGAATCTACACACACACGCACACACGCACACACACGCACTCACACACAAACACACATGTGCTTTCATATAACGAGCCATTCGTTATATAAATATCTGTTTTTATAAACCGTACTCAACTGTGTGTAGTAGTAAAAGTTTTGTTAAGCTTTAAAGGAACGCACATATTTGCACGATCTGTAATAATAATACTAATATTATTATCAATAATAATAATAATAATATCTAGCAACAATAGGCAACAACAACAATAATAATAAGGTCATCAACAACAACAAGATAATACCAACCATAGATGATATTTATCTGTAACATTGTAAGTGGTTCTGCGTATGTCAGAGCTGCAATAATAAAGACTAATAAAAAAAAACCAACAGCTATATTAATTGATCGATACGTATTAAATCATGTTACATCTTGCGACAAACATACATACATAAATACATACATACATACATAAATACATACATACATACATACATACATACATACATACATACATACATACATACATACATACATACATACATACATACATGCATGCATGCATGCATGCATGCATACATGCATGCATGTATGTATTTAAATCTCGATCAAATTAGTTAATCTTTCACAGCCATTTTTGTCTTCAAGCAACTTTCCAAAAAGCCACCCCCAACGTGTGACGAATATTTTAAAATGGCCAACAACCCCACCCCCCAGACGTGTCAACTTTCTGATGTCCAACAATTCGAGAACAAACTTGTTGCATTCTCAAACTGTCTGCAGAGGACCAAGGATTTGGAATGACATTTAAAAAAATGATTTTTCTGGCAATGAAACATCACTTGCTATGTTCAAAATTTTTTTTTTTTTTTTCATAAGATTTTAATGGCACTGCAGCTCCCAAGGTGGTGTTATAATGTGCCAGTAATTTTAATTTTTTTTTTCTTAATTTCTATTTTATTTATTTTTTTTCATAATTATTTAGTTATTATTAATACATCTTCAAAATCAATCACAGTCGAAAAGGAAGAATCCGATCAAAATATATCAAGACATCAATCCAGAAAAATAAATGATAATCTTTGACTTAAGTATATTTTAAGAAGTAAGGTTGTAATAGTTTATTCCAGTCTTTTTAATTTGAAAAAAAAAATTTGAAACTGTTCTTGTTAAATTTTAATGACGGACGAAATATTGATACGTAACCTCTTTATTTCATTCAAATATTTTTTTATTTTCTGTTTGACGTTAGGGTATGCATATGTGTGTTAATTCGTGTACATTAGCTTCAGGTGGCTGTGCTGGATGAGCTCAGAATGAGCTTTATCACAGTCATCCTGGCTTCATTTGTTTTTTTAAGTAAATTAAATATCGTATCTTATCGTATCCATGTATTGTATCCATGTATTGTATCCATGTGTTGTATTATCCATGTATTGGGTCGTGTATTGTGTCGTGTGGCGTGTATTCATGTATTTGTTGTATCGGACGATAATTAGAGAAGACGTTGTAGCAATTGCGGCCGGCAGATGTCGCTTAAATTGTTAAAAAAAAATGTTGCCAATCGAAAATGAATTGTAGTTTATTTACAAGATGACGATATTTTTGTTATTGTTGTTGTTATTATTGTTGTTATTGTTGTTGTTATTATTGCTGTTATTATTCGTTTACCATAAACTTTTTAATTATTTTTTTTTAAATTATTATTCGAGTCAAGCTCCTCATAAATGTTCTCCAAAATGTCGATATTTATGAAGATAATAGCAATAATAATAATAATAACATCAACAACAACATCAACATCAACAACAACATCAACATCAACAACAACATCAACATCAACAACAACATCAACATCAACAACAACATCAACATCAACAACAACATCAACATCAACAACAACATCAACATCAACAACAACATCAACATCAACAACAACATCAACATCAACAACAACTTCAACAACAACTTCAACAACAACATCAACAATAATAACAACATCATTAATAACAGCAACATCATCAACAACAATAACATTGTTAATAATTACAATAATAATAACATAAATAATAATATAATATAATTATAATATAACAATATAATAATATAATATAATTATAATAATAACAATGATTGCAATATAAATTATAGTTAATAACAATTTAAATGATAACAACATGGCAAGTGTTATTATGTTAAAAAGAATGATCACGGTTTTAAAAGTTGAGTTGGCCTGGATTCTTATCAATTGTAAAACAACACAGTCAAATAAAACAACGGTTATGTAATAATGTAGTGTGTGTTTGTTTGTTTGTGTGTATGTGTGTGTGTGTGTGTGTGTGTGTGTGTGTGTGTGGTATGTGTGTGTGTGGTATGTGTGTGTGTGTGTGTGTGGTATGTGTGTGTGTGGTATGTGTGTGTGTGTGTGTGTCTGTCTGTGTGTGTGTGTCGAATGTTTTTTTAAAAATCTATTAGCAGAGAGCCTAAATAAGATACGGAGGTTGAGAATCTGATTTAAATTGTAAGTATGTCGGGTGACGATAATGTTATACAGAATTAAAAAAAAACTTATTCATTACAACAGGTTGATGTGATGTAACGCGGTTTGACTTTGAGTCTAATCAATTAATTAATTAGTTAATTAATTAATTGGTTAATTAATTGATGAGTTAATTATGCCTCATCTATTTTCTTTTATTAATAATTCTTTGTTAAATAAATCTCAGAGTTACCAACAGCACAAATACTCATACACACAAAGCATATGAGAATATGAACTTACACACACACACAAACACACACACACACACACACACGATACATAGCGTGTGATTGATGGGGATCTCTTGGCATTTGAACCCAGTCGGAGCAACATCGAGACCAGGCACTTTAAACATTACACCACCTCGCAAAAGATTTTTTAGCTGTGTTTATTTTTTGTTTGCCCTACAAAGGCTGTTTACTGAAATTTTCTGACGTAAAATGAATCGAAACGACGCGCTGGTTATTCATAATTTATTCAGCACTACTCAGCTGGTCATTTTTCATATTGCGTCTGGAGTTTATTCTTTCAATTTTTTGGCTCTTCATGTTTCGAAACTGTTATCTTTTGTTGAAAACAAAGTTTGACATCAGCGATTGAAAAAGTGTGATTGATGAAAAAATTCATGCAATTGATATTTTTTGCTGCTGCGATCTAGCAATATAAGACAAACAGTCCGGTGCATTCAGAATTGTTTTGAGGAATTCACAAAATTTTATCAATGTTTTTTTGCATCTTTGAAATAAAAAGCTGAAAACGCAACATAGATGAACGTATGAAATAATTCTTAAGCGTTCGCTGTTATCTGTGGTTTACATCTGCGGTCGGCTCTGAATGTGTCCAAAAAATCATTCCAATACAATCCCACCATTAAGCATTACAGTCTTTGTGTCTGTTCACATGGCATAGCTGTTCTCAAAATCCTGTATATTGGATTAATTATATTGTATATACATTGAAGTTAAAAGAAATTTTAGTAAACACCTCATTTCATTTTGACTTTCATTCGGTGTTTCTTAAAAACGTCTTCAAGAGGTAGTTAGTGCATGTAAACTTGTGTAGATACAATGATACAAAGTATGATACAATCATTGTATGTGATCTCACATACAATGATACAATAATTGTATGTGATAGGGAGCTGGGATGTCTCTGCGTTTGAACACGGCCCCTGCTACAACAGTGCCAGGCACCTTAAACCACTACACTATCGTCAAGTTCACGTAGACCAGGATCTTACAAAATTGTTAGTCTAAAATAAACAAACTAACTCTGCTAAATAAATAACCATACATTAATCTATTTAGTCACGAATGTATGTGTGTTTGTGTGTGTGTGTGTGTGTTTGTGTGTGAGCGCACGTGTAAAATGCAATACATAATATGATAATATGAGCCTCTATATGACCGAATTAAAAAATTGTATGTAAAGATGAAACAGTTTGAACACAAAAACTCTTTGAAGCTTGCTGCGAAATCATAATTTCAGTTTAATATATCAGTCATGTTTCGATATTTTATATAAATATATGTAAAGAAAGAGAAGAGATGGAAAGAGAGAGAGAGAGAGAGAGAGAGAGAGAGAGAGGGAGGGAGAGAGAGAGGAAAAAAAGAAGGAAAGAGAGAGAGAGAGTGAGAGAGAGTCAGCGAAGGAATAAAAAGAAGACAACAAAGATAACGTTAACAGAATGTATAATATTGTAGTGAAATGTTGTTCAAGGTTATGTTGTTATGTTTGTATTTTTGTTTTTTGTGAGAGAGAGAGAGAGAGAGAGAGAACGGGAGAGAAAGGGAAAGAAAAGAGAGAAGAGAGCGTCTATGGGTGCGCGTTTGAGTTTGTCTGTGTGTTTAATACTGGTATAAGTGTTGAGAACGTGTTGAAATGTTTCATTTCAATCCAAGGGTTTATTTATAGAGCAATAAAAATATAGTCAGTTGAAAGATTTTATAAAACGCTAGATAAAAAGAAAGAGGAGAGAGAAAAAAGAGGGAAAGAGTGAGAAAGAGAGAGAGGGGAGTGGATAAAAAAGGAAGAGATATATGAATCTGTTTAAATATTTTAATTTATCTTTTATATAATCTATAATCATGTTTTTAATCGATTTTGTCAATTTTTATTAATGACCAAAATTTGGTCCTAGAAATTTTATTTTTTAAATTTACGAGTCATTTTGTCATGATATGGAGATAGAGTAATGGAAAGCTATAAAAATTTTCCTAAAAAGTTAGCAATTTCACTATGGTTTCATATCACCTGGACGGCAAATATTTCTAGGTGCCTATTCAATTTTGAGAGGATTTCTTTTTAAATTTAACTCTTTACAATTTAAAACATTCATTTGTTTATTGAATTTTGTCTAGTTATATAATAAAACAAAACTGCAGATTTCAAAACATGTACAATATTAATAAATCAATGGAGAGCGAGGCATTGTTTTGGTGTCCAAAAATCATAATTTTACTTTGTTTATCTGACTTCAAAACGTTGTTACATATTCAAACATGTTGTATGTATGTACGCGCGCGCGCGCGCGTGTGTGTGTGTGTGGTGTGTGTGTATGTGTGTAACAGACACAAACGAACAAACAAAAGAACAAACAAGCAATCAATCTAATATAAATTTCAATTTTTTTTAATTCATTCGGTTCTAGCATTAATTCTAAATTTTATATTGACAATCCAAACTGAACTTTCTTTCCCTTTCTCTCTCTATCTCTCTCTCTCTCTCTCTCTCTCACACACACACACACACACACACACACACACATTAGACAGATCAGATGTTTAGTTTCTTTGTGATGGTTATTAAAAATGTCTTCAGCAAACAGACAATTTGAAACTTGGAAGATTTACCTTATTAATATTAATCGTTTAACATGTCTTTTATAAAAGTTTTTAATTTATAGAGATTTAAAATTTATATTAAAAAAATCAACCACATTTTTGTTAATTAAATTTTTGAGAATGAAAACCAGCTATTAAAAAAACTGAAGTTCATTACCTAACAATTCATTATCGAACTAACATTCAGCCTCTTTTTCGAATTCAAAAGTTTAAACAGGTAGGATGGCAAAAATTAACTTCCCGTGAATAATATTTACCAACTCGTGTTCAGCAGTCCAAAATAAGATGATAGCTCAAACTTTGCAATTTGGCTATTTGGCCTTAAAATTTCCGAATCCGAATGCCAAATGAATGAGTTAGTAGGGGTTTAAATGTATCTAGTCATTATAAACATTTATCACTTTTAATTAGTTTTATTAATCATTTTAATATCTAGGTTTTAATTTAATTTATTATTACTACTACTTCTTTGCTTTTCTTCTCTTTTTCCCCAGTTTATTTGGTTAATGAAATAAAATTATTTCTACTCGTCTTAAATTGTCCAATTTATCAATTTATAACTCGGCATCAAAGGTGGAACAATAATAAATGGAACATTCCTCGACAAGTTGATGTATGATAAGTAGATGATGTATGATAAGTAGATGATGACAATGTGGGAATAATGATGATGATAGATGTGATAAAATAATTATAATTATAAAATGATTGAAACTAACTAATTATTAGGTTGGATAAATCTTACACACACGCACATCGAGCACACACGCACACACGCGCACACGCACTTGAAAATAGGACTTATGTGTAAATTCATCTTCATAAAACTCCTTTTCATCCATAATAAGGTATCATGTTATGTCTGCCGTTTAGGTTAAAAATTCTAAAAAACATCTTAAACATTAAATTAAATTAATGAGCTGCAGGTTTGGGCTGCAAAATTTTTAATTCAAAAACCTTCCAAAATTGTCAACGTAGATGACTTTTTTTAAAAAACCGAAAGACAGCTGAAAATGAGGCCCAAACTGATTTAAAAACCCGAAGTAGATGCTGGATTTCTGGAGATGGTTGTAAAGCAGTGAGTTGTAGGGAATGGTTTTATGGAAGTGATGAGAGATTCGTTAGGTATATGAGCGCTTGTTAAACTGTGGTCATCAAGAACGAGAATGAAATAAAATGAGATGACTCTATCAATCCATTGAGTTACATCTTCAATCTTAAACTTACTAGACGGTGTAATGGTTGAGGCGTTTGACGCTACTGTTGCATGACTGAGATCGATTGCAAAGAGATCCCACCACCTCTGTCACATACAATGCGTGTGATGGGGGCTATGTGTTTATTTGCTTTTAACGAAAATACAATAAAATAAGGTATAAGAAAAGTTTTAATAAAATACAATAAAATTAACATTAAATATTGGATCGAAAAATGAAAATAATTGATAGTTTTTTTATGATGTTTGTTTAAAATTCAGTGGAAACCACTGAAGTCACCTTCTTTCCTTCACCCAACATAGAATATTATTATTATATTTTACGTTACCTCATAGAGTTAGAAATAAATTTTCAGGTTACATTTAAGACTGACTTCTTCATAATAAAATTTTTTCATTACCAGGCTGTCTCCATAAATGCAATAACGTGCTAATAAAATTAGAAAAAAAAACATTAATTTGAACATACAAAAAACACATGTAACAAAAACGGACAGAATATATGTCTATACACACCTCTGTGTGTGTATGTTTGTTAGTTTTGACATTTGACATTTTTTATTTGTTTGTATGAGTGTATGTGTGTGTGTATGTGTGTTACCTTCTTGCTTGACAACAGTTTGCTAATTGCTATTCAACCGGATTACATTACATTGATTACCAGCCAGCGGTCCAGTTTGTCGTGTGGACTACATAAGCGGGAACTAAACCAAATGCAAAGGAATTCATTTTAAAAACCACGGTGGATAAAATGCATGGAAAAATAATTATTTTTTTTTTTGGGTAATGATCAGTTAATGCTCCCAGGCTTCTAAAAATTTATGAAAATGTTGTTGAAATTAATTATTTAACGCGCTAATTAAACACAAACGGTAGGAGCTGGATTTGCATGTGCGTTGGGTGCCATTATAAAATTAGAAACTATATGCACTGTCTATATGCAGTGAACGCCTGTGTGAATGTAAAAATATACTTAATGTTGTATAGACCTTATGTTGTATGTATGTTGCATTCTTGACGTCCTAATGTTTGTTTGAATATATAAAATGTATGTATTTATGTGTGTGTGTATGTATGTATGTGTGTCTGTATGTTTGTATGTATGTGTGTATGTATGTATGTTTGTATGTATGTATGTATAGATGAATGGATGTATGAATGTATACATATATCAAAACATGCGTGCATTAATGTGCATTCTTGTTATTTTTTTTATTCATGTGGTTTCATAGGTATTCAGGTGCTTATTGTATGTATGTATGTATATATATATATATATATATATATATATATATATATACAACAAATACATTATACACAAACATCATACATCTATTGTTGTTTATATAGTACAAGTATTTCTTGCATGTGCATGTTGTATGCAATGCATACATATTTCTATATATTTCTTTATATATTTTTATATATTTCTATATATTTCTAAATATCACTTTATATATTTTAATATATTTCTATATATTTCTATACACTTAGGCTAGCTTAGTGTCAATACTCCCTGAGTCAGTTGCTAATTCCGATGAGCCACGATGATCACGATGATGAGGTGATGCTAGTGATGAGGTGAGTGTTACCTGCTTGTGGGGTGGACATTGATCTCGGCATACTTCAGAAGACAAGTGAGTTCAGCTGCTGCGAACTGCTGAACAACAAACAGCACCAACAACACAGACAATTAGAAATTGAAAGAAAAATGTGTTATTCCTTTCTTCATCGTAATTCCTGTTGGCGAATTGTTTTTTAGTTTCGCATCGTTATTGATTGGATAAGTGCATTGTAAGTACGTGATTTTGTTCGTGGAGTCATGTATGTCGCAATAAAATGAGAAAGCAGTAAAGCTTCGTTGGAATGTTGTCTGCTTCTAATTCGTTCAGAATATTCCGCAGGTCTCAACCTGAGTCTATTATTATTTTGTATTTGATGTCAAAGTACTGAAAGCACGGCCGGAAGTAGTTGAAATCTTTCGAGGATGGTGAAGATGATGTGAGCGTGCGATCAATATAGAAGACTAAGAGCGGAATTTATTCTCGTACACCTATAAAGTTCATCTTACAAAATTGGATTGATTTTTTTTACAAACAAACTCTTCGACATTTCAAAATGAAACTGATAACCAGACGCACATGAGATGTGAAGCGATAGTGGCAACCACACGTGTAATGCATAATAGAGGTGGTAGCCACACGTGCGATGAGAGGCGATTACTCCATACGTAGGTGGAGGCAGGCAGGTAGGTAGGCGTTATTGAACGTACGCAAGCAGAAGTTGACGACATGGTAAACAACAAAAGAAAAAAAAGTTTCAAAAACATTTCGCGAGGCCCTTGCTCCTATATTTATGGCCTCTTTTTTTTAGAAAATAATAATTAATAATAAATGAACGTTTTCCAGAGTTGAATTTTAGCTGAGTTACATACGCAAACATTTTCGCCGAAAAAGCCATCTATCTAAATATAGTATAAAAATATAATCATAGCAATAAAACGTTTGACTTGAACATGTCAGACTTTGATAGGATAGAATAACAAAAAAAGAGTAGCTTTTCGATCACAAACATGGCAATATATCAACATTTTTAATTGCATCCATAGGCTACGTACAACCATGATCATCAGTAGTTCATCTTAAAATAGGGCTGTTGCTGCTGTTGTTGTTGCTGTTGTTGTTTCTTATTTTCGTCGTCGTTCTTGTTTAGTTGGCTACTGTGAAAGTAAGCCATAAAAAATAAATAGGATATGATTAATTTACAACGAGTTACAAAAAAGTAGAAAAAAAACAGCACTGCGTTACATTACAACATTATTTCTGCAACACAAACATGATTAATTAGATTTGTATAAGTATTTTTACTTGCACTCATTATAGGTATGTATGTGTGTTTGTTTTTCATTGTGTGTGTGTGTGTGTGTGTTGTGTGTGTGTGTGTAAGGCTGTGTGATGTGAAAGTGAATGAAAGCATGTACCACCGACCGACACGACTGACGATGAATCATGCAAGAACAAAATCAAGCGAACCATATAAAATTAAATATTGATGTCTTCTAAGCTTCAATACACCCCATAATTTATAATGAATCCTCAGTTAATTAATTAATTAATTAAATAATTAATTAATTATATCGGATTGATTTTTCGTGTCAGAGCAACTTCGAAAGGAACGAAAATGAAGATTCACATTTCACTTGCTAAACTCGCACGTGCATACGCGCCGCGTTTATCATTATATTAGAATTAGACAGAGTTGTGATCGAAAAACGACACGAAGGCCAGCGACGTGTGTTATGTTTCTTGTACTGCTACTATGCACATTCTCACTATTTTCAACTCACTCTCTCGCCAATATCATGACTCTCACTTTCCCATCACGGTCTCCTTGTTGTTTTAAACTTTTTAAGACCTATATGTTTTTTTTGCAGCTTTTCAACGCGGTTAACATCTTACTTTCGAGTGATTTTTTTTTCTATTTAACTGCGCCTCATCTCAGAGACAACGTCCACCGTACAGATGGGGGAAATGATTTGACGTATATGCCCCAATAACAAATAACAAAATGTACCCCAACAACAAAATTTGGACCAAAAAACGCCGAAAGTAGCATCCAAACGAAGCAGCAACACTGAGCAACATAGAAACGCCAACTTGGTGAACGCTAAAAAAAACGAGGGTGAAATAGCCGCCAATGTGGAATAACCACACAACCGATCCTTATTTATCGTTTGGTCTGGTTAGAAACCGAGTTCATCAACCTAAGTCGTCTACTCACTGCTATACATTGTCTATTTCATCTATACACTACACATGCTACATGTGTGCTACTTGAGAGAGAGGCTAGATAGATAAAGAGAGAAAGAGAGAGAGAGAAAAAGAGAGAGAGAGAGAAAGAGAGAGAGAGAGAGAAAATAGTGGCTGCTATATTCACAACAGATCTATTAAAAACAATGCTACGCTACTTACAACGCACGTACACTCACGCACACACACACACACACACACACACACATCTAAATATATATCACATATGCGTATCTATATTTCAACTTTAAGTATATGTAGAGATATGAATTTATAGATAGTGACGTATGTTTTATACAATGATATTATATCAGTGTGTTTATCATCTAAATTTATGATCGGTATGTTATTCGTGTTATAACGTTGTTGTTTTTCTCAATAAAACTCATAAACAAGGTTTGGCAAAGGAATGAGAAATATCTATTTGTATTTTTTAAGTTAAAAATATTGATATGAATAAATTAATAAATAAATAAATAAAATGAAATAAATAAATAATAATTTTATATTTATTTTATTTGGATTTGTCTTTACATACGCTAACATATATAGCTATAACCCTATATATAAAGATATAATCATAATTTTAAAATGATCAAATATGAAACCATGTAGAATTATGAAAAAACCACAACAACAACAATTTTTTAATTTAATTTTATTTGGTGTGAAACTTTCAATCTTCAAAATACAACACTTATCCTATAAGATATTTCATATTTTTATTTCGCCAAACATATAAGTATATATTGTATATAATTCATCTGTAATATAAATAAATGTATATATATATATATATATATATATGCAAACATTCATACATATAGTATATATACATGTATAATATGGTTGTTGGTTATATACATATAGATAATTTATACTTATGTTTCATATGATATCTATATCTATATATATGTATTTACATGATCTATTGTCATTGTCTGTTTGGCATTATAATTATGGATTGGTATTTAAACTTGATCCGAGGACTATTTTGAGACAAACGTTTTTTTGATTTCGGTTCAAGTCGGTTATTCGTATCGGTTCGATTCGATTAATAAAAATTATCCGAATATACTCTATCGTTATTATTCGATTGAATTGTTTCAAATGTTAATTGTTCATCTTATAAACAAACAGACGCTCATTTTATTCAGATATTAATATATTTATATAGATGTATAATTAATATACTTATGAGATTTTTGTTATAAATTTTAAAATAATTTGTTTGAAATTTGAAAAAAAAGGTTAGAAATTTTTCTGATGTTATAATAATAATATTTGTATATTATATTTTAATTTTTTTCATTCATATTCATATTTCTGATTTTGTTTGCAATTATTATTAATTTCATATAAGTTATATTTAATTTAATGTGATCTGGTTTTCGTTTAACTTTATTGGACAATGATTTTTTTAGATTGCTTTTACACATTTATAAATAATTTTTATTTATTTTTCACAGCTTTGATAATATAAACACGATTTAATAATATGTTAAGTCTTCTAGGTCAAATGATAAACCGTACATTGTATATTATACATTGTACATTATTCGTATATTGTTTGATACATGCATTTACATTACATGGCGATAATTATAATATATGTTTATGGCGTTTTTCATAAATTGTAAATATTTAAAACATATTAACGCATTAATATCATTTTTCCATAGGCAGTTTATTTTGTAAACATTGTTAACAAAACAAATTGCGTGTATTCAAAGGTTTTGTAGAAATTTTGTAAGCACGTATTAGCATAAATAGTAAAAAAGCTTCCAGTTTTTGGCCACTTCGTTTTTTAGCAAGTGCCCTTGTGTGCTAGATTTTTGTTATTCTACTGCTGCTGCTTTTTGTCGATTTTTATGCTTTATTTTCGTTAATATTTTGTTTTGTTCTTGTGGTTTCTGTTGTTGAGTGTTTGAGTTTTTTGGCTGTGGAGTGGTTATTGATGTTTTTTAATTTCGTTGCTGTTAATTCTTGTGCTAATTTTTAAGAAGGTTTAGAAGGAAATGATTAAAAATTTTTAAATGTTTTTTTTGTTTCGCGTGTTTATACTTCCCCAACTAACCCATCATATAACTTTAACAATTTTATTTAATCACATTAAATGGTTTCCATTATTTTCGATGGTCTAACATTTGCGAACATCCTAACCATTTCAGATTTCATGAACAATGACTAGTCGCATGGACAGATATTCCAGAAATTCGACTCCACCTTCACTGCAGTACGTGGGAAAGCATCTAATGAACGGCCACCTGGCACTTCAAATGCAGCAGCAGGCCATGGATCCAACTTGCTTGATGCCTTCTCTCTTGCGCGCTTCATCTCTCAGAGCAGCCCCAAAGGATAGCTCTCCTTTCTGCCTTCCAATGAACTCACAAAACAAACAATATGGTCAGGAGCGCCCGTACGAGTCTCACCAACCTCACCAGCCTCACGCCGCACAAACTTCTCAACAGCTTCACAAGCAGAATCACAAAGATTTGAAATATTCAGATAAATCTACAAATGTTGGAATGGCGAAACAGCCAGTGTTAACGTCGTCGTCATCGTTGCTGTCCTCAATCCCAATGCAGCATAACAACATGTTCTCCTTACCTCCAACCTCATTTTCAAACCGCACCGGCAACATTGAACACAGTTTAAACAGCAGCTTCAAAAAATCTTTTGACTACCGCCAAGCCCTACAAAATCTCATGCCGCATCAATTCCTACAACAGCAGCTGCAGCAGCGACATCATCCACAACAGCTGCTACAACGACAACAGCTGCAGTTCAAACAAAACCAGCTGCAAGCTCACAGCAATAATTTTAAAATGTTGAACAGTTCCATTCGACAACATCTCCAACAACCTCAGACCTTATACTCTGCTAATCAACAGACGATTTACAGGGAAGAAACAAAATTTTACAATAACCAACCTCAGCAGATCGAAACATTCCGAAAAAAAGTTGGCAGGCCTAGGTTGTCCGAGGAAATGAAGTTAAGAAACAAAAATAATAAACTGAAACTGAAGAAACAAGAAATAAAAATGAGACATCAACTGAAACCTTACTCCCCACAAAACCTTTCAACGTGTTCATCAAAAATGCTTGTAGATGTTCCCGGTAAACAATTATTACATAATCAACCTCGAGATTACTTAATTCAGAATCAACAAGAAAAATACAAAACTCCAAAAAAGTATGAAAAAATGTCTAGCAGAAACAAATTGCTGTCAATTGCAAAAAAGAGAATCGTAAGCGGAAAATTTGGCGTTTTAAATTGTCTAAAACTGTACAGAAAGTGTAAAAAAGATTTGAAATTGAAGAAATTCTTTCAAACAAATTCATCAGCACCTTCCATGCCTGCGACGAATGCGAACAACCAAATCCCGGTTTATCAGAAAAATTTCAACAGAGTCTACAAAACATTGGTGAACTTTGACCCCACAAAAACATCCAAATCGGGAAAACATATTTCGTCTCAAACATCACTACAGAAAAAAATGTATCCATTTAAGATGATCAGTCCTGGCTATTCAAACAACGCTGATTATTTCAACACGAACGATGCAAAATATCAAAAGTTTGTTACTAACAATAAAAAGTTAAATTGCGACGTCCAGACGCGAGATGTAAACATTCCAAAAACTTCGGCTCACACCAACAAATCGGGCACCATGAACTCTCATGACGACACAAATAGCTCAAAGAAATCAGAACAGAGCCAAGTGATCGAGCCTAAACCGAATGTGATACCTCAGTTCTTCAATGCTGGCAGTGCAGCTGTCGTTGAAGACGGCAGTCCCAAAAACAAAACCTTTGAAATGACGAATGCATCGCTTCCCGCCAAAAAGAGGAAATGGCTACATGTCGAAGTTAGTTTCAGTTATAAACCATTTTAAACGATTATTTAGTGGCGTTAATGGCTATTTTTCCAATATTATCTAAACTTTTTATTCTGACACATCTTATTTGAAATTATTCAAATGAGAAATAAACGAGGTTCGTATAAACAAATTCGCTGTGAATATTTTTTAAAACTATGAATACGTTTGAAATAAAGCAAAAAATTCTCCAATATGATAATGTGGCCCATTTTTTGTGAACATATGCGAATTATCTAGTTAATTGTTGTTTGTTGATTCATTTTTAGCTTGAATAACCACCATCATCACCATCTCTTTAAACTACACAGCTAAGGAGAATTAAATTAAAAAAAATTCCTAAAATAATATTTTATTGCATTTGTGCTGCTCGATCTCCGGTTTTAAAATTTTATTTTTGCTGCGAATAACACTTGAAATAGCGTTGAAGTTTTATTTATGTCATAAAAAACAACTTCATAAACGTTTAAATGCGTTTATTATTACATCTGGTCAATTTTTAAATTTTTGTTCGTCAACAAACATTTATCTTATGTTAGAGAACCTGTTAGGGTTAGGGTTAGGGTTAGGGTTCATTCATTTATACATTCACTTATTCGTTCGTTCTTTCGTTCGTTCGTTCGTTCATTCATTCATTCATTCATTCATTCATTCATTCGTTCACACATACGTTTACAGTTGAAAAAAATTTAAATATTTTTCCAATTTATATTTTTTTCTCCTCCAGACGACAGAAAAGCCGTTACTACATTCGACTGGCTGCAACAGCGCTGTTCGCAATGGAACAACCAACAACAACATCAACCGCAGCATCGGAAATGACATCAAAAACAGCAACAACAACAATGCCGATTTTAAAAAAGGTCGGTGAACTTTTTTCTCATTACTTAAAAATTTCTCATAACCATCCATCGAAAACTAGGTCCCTGAGAGTCGCTGTGTTGTTGGTTTTTGTTGAGCCCATGTAGGCCATTGTACTTTATGTAATTTATGCTGATGTATGAAATTTACAATATATATATATATATATATATATATATATATATATATATATATATATACATCAGTAGACAAAAATAGTATAAAAATATTCACACACACACACACACACACACACACACGCACACAAAGATAAAAATATCCTGCAAACATTAAGTAGAATACTTTATCAAAACGAAAGTCTTTATAAATACTAACATAGGGTTAGATAAATAGGTGAGTCTTCGGATATAGCAGTGATTAGGAATGATTAAGAATGATTGAACAAATTAATGATTAAAGAGATAATCTTTGTGTAAATACGAGTTTAAATAAACAACGATGAAATAAGGTTTTGAGGTCACTCATGTGAGCTAGAACGTCTGACTAGATACATATATTTGATTATATACAGGCGATTTGTCAAATTTTTTAAAATTCAGAAATCCATTTCACCCAACTGCATTTCGACTGTTATTTTATTCTATACAGATAAAAAAAAATTCATAGATGAACTTTTCATTTCCGCTTGCATTCAATTACTTTATTTTTGACGATTCTATACGTTTCAGACCGTTTGTAATACTTACTTATCCATTTCTATTTTGGCTGTCTCAACTGTTCAATCAATTTTTTGCGTGGTTATTAGCCTACTCATTCGTTTGTTCTTCTTATCGTTCGTTCATTCTTTCAATCATTCATTCCATTCATTCATTCATTCATTCATTCATTCATTCATTCATTCATTCATTCATTCATTCATTCATTCATTCATTCATTCATTCATTCATTCATTCATTCATTCATTCATTCATTCATTCATTCATTCATTCATTCATTCATTCATTCATTCATTCATTCATTCATTCATTCATTCATTCATTCATTCACCGTTCGATCATTGATTCATTCGTTCGTTCCTACATTCGTTTTAATCGTTTATACATTCACCTGTTCATTCATTTATACATTTACTCATTCATTCATTCGTTCGTTCGTTTGTTCATTCATTCATTCATTCATTCATTCGTTTCTACTCAGTAAAATGGTTTATTCGTTCATCTGTCTGTCCATTCGCTAAAAGGCTTACAGCCAAAATGTTCTTGTTCCTGTACTTTTACGATACATTTTTAAAAGAACAATATCAACATCGCAATAAATTATGACTAATTATTATAGAATGAATTAAATATTTTTATTATTTTCAGTTGAAATTACAATGATTATGGTAATTATGAAACTGTCGTTATCTTCAGCGTTATCATGATCGTTCTAACCACAACCTTCATTATCGTCAACATTTCATTTTATTTTCTATTTGTGATCACATGACCATCGTCATCATCATCATCATCATCATCATCATCATCATCATCAACGACATCATCATCATCAACAACATCATCATCATCATCATCATCATTAACAATATCATCATCATCATCAACAACATCATCATCATCAACAATATCTTCATCATCATCATCAACAACAACATCTTCATCATCATCATCTTATCCATGAACTTATCATCGTCATCGTTGTTGTCGTCATCATCATCACCGCCGGTAACATTTAAGGTTACTTTGTCAGAATAAGCACAAAGTCATAATGAGAGTCTGTCCAGGTTTATTTGATCCAGTTATCTTATTTCTGTCGGTCTGTCTGTCTTTCTGTTTGTTTGTCGTCTGCTTTGGTGTTTTCTTGTTCTTTTGGTTTTCTTTTTTTCGTTATTTTCTCTCTTTGTATTGTATTCCTGCATGAAATTTGTAGTTTGTTTATTGTTTTGATGTTATTTATATTCATGTTCTAACCTCAATGCTTTAACATATTCAGAATTTGGTTACATTATTTAGTTTTGAATTTAAGAAATTGTTTTATTAAACATTCTAACACAAAAAATTACAGTAAACCAGTTGACATCCGGTTGATGTTTGATCAATAAAGACAGAGTAAAAAAAAATAATAAAAATTAAAATAACGGTAAAAAATACGAGCTGAAATAAATAAATGAACCAATAATAATAACAGCAAAAAATGAAATAAACCAAGCCAGCATGTACAGAATAACCAGATTAGCAAGGATGAATGTTTGGAATTGTTTGAAACTGATGGCAACGGCTGTATAAATTTATGTTCTCTTTCTTTTTTGAAGGATCTGTGTCAAGGGTTTTTTGAAATTTTGGCTAAATATTTTAAGTGCTAGTAAGTAAAGCAGTAATAAGTTAGGTGGAGAGAAATGTCTGCACTTTGAAATGTCTATATCATGCTAATTGCTTAGAATGTTGAGTATCTATGGAAAAATGTAAAATACATCTTTATTAGTAAATAAAAAGAAAAACTAAATAAGACATTTATATTTTTGGTTTTTTGTTTCTTCTCTTTTTTTTACACGCCCCCACACCACATGCGCATTCTTCTTTCCACAGATAAAACCTCTCCATTTATTTTCCTCACATGAAAAACGTGTGTGTTGGTTGATTGCTTTCTGGAATGATCTCTTGTCTGAATGATGATGATGAATGGTTGGTAAAAAAAGCCATTGCTTATACAGCTGTTATTCTTTTTAGATTCCGACTCTGTTTTTTTTTCATTTCTTTTTAATTCTACAATGTTACTTCTGTTTTGAAGACCAGTGCTGTGTTGTTTAACGAAGCTGTTGAATGGTTGATAAATTCTCAGAATAACTACTTTTATTATCGGCTGATCTGGTTTATGTCTCTTCTCTTTAACCCCATTGGGCTATTATTGATTTAATTAATCTAGTTCTTTAATTAATTCAATTAATTTAGTCTTTTAATGAGTTTATATAATCTATCTAGTTAATTAATTTAATGAATGATGACATGAACTGGCCCACGTTTGCAACCATTTTTCAAAATTTTACAATGAACAAATAGTTAACTTGAAGTTTTAAAAGCCCTTACTCTTGGTCTTCCCATGATGATACGTCATCATCATCGCCATTAGTGTCTTTCGTTTCGTTTCGTTGGTCGATATTTGTCGTTGTTATTTATCAACTTATTTGTCGATAACGAGGTTAATGTTCTTATCTATCAATTTATCATATTTTATGAATAATAAACAAAATTCATTCGTGCCAACATGCTAGCGACCTAGAAATGAGTTGATGACAAAAACACATGCACACCACTCACTCACACACACACACGAACACACACACACACACACACACACACATATATATATATATATATATACATACACATGCACACACGCACGTGCAAACACACACACACAAACTAACACACGTACACATACAAAATCTAATCGCACACACACACACACACATACAAACACACACACACACACTTTTACACATGTGGCTATGGTCATCCATTCATTATGCTCTTTGAAAAAGTTCATTGATCAATTTTTATGCGCTAACAATTCAAATTTCGACACATTGAACAAATAAATAAATAATTCAAACTTCAAATAGAAACATCAGTAGTAATAAATAATAGAAATAAATAAATGTTAATAACAATATTTATAAGAGGGAAAAGAAGAATAGGAAAAATAATAATAACGATAGCGAATTTTCTACAGACGCTAAAGTTTTCATGTTGAATTGAAAGACGTAACAGCTGTCACTTTGCCTAACTATATATCTACCAACTTACCTATTATCTATCATTCCATTTATCTACCGATTCATCTGTCATTCCGTTCATTCATCCATCCATCAATCGATTCATTTATCCATCCATTAATCTAAACTATGCTTATATCAGTTCGTTAATCTGTCTATCTAACTTTGTCTATCTACCTCTAACTATCTATCTCTGTATATCTATCTATCTATCTATCTATCTATCTATCTATCTATCTATCTATCTATCTATCTATCTCCATCTTTCTTTGTCTATCTACCTGCCTATCTGTGCATGTCTCTGTCCATCGTAACTTATTCTTTATTTGTATCATAAAATATGTTTTGACAGCCTGTTTTTCTGCTCCAATTTTTTTTTATAGTGAAAAAGTGTTTTTGATCATCACATGTTTGTGAAAATGATTTTAACTGAATGGCAAAATTCTATATTTACACCACTTCGACTATCGATTCCTATTTTGGATTTTGCTTTTCAGAGAGAAAATTGATTAAATATTAGTAATTAATTAATTGATTGATCGTTAAAATTTACTGGTTTGATCAAAATTGTAAAACCAATTAGACATTTTAAAGAAACATATCGAAATATTTCGATTCGATTTTACCAGTTTACTCACTTACCCAATCACTCGCTCACTCAACAATCACTCGCTCACTCACTCGATCACTCACTCACTCAATCACTCACTCACTCACTCACTCAATCACTCACTCACTCACTCACTCACTCACTCACTCACTCACTCACTCATTCATTCACTTATTCACTCACTTGTTCAATATTTTACTATCATGGGTAAAAAAATGATCATCGCCATCATCATTCAGCCCATTTTAAGATTTTTTTGTTGGATTATTTTTGCATTGCGAAGTTTCAGCTAAACGTGTAATGGTCTTGAAAAACAAAAGTGTTTTTGTTTGCTTGCACTGAAGAACGCATGTTTGCCTAGCACATATAGAGGGTTATGCATGTTTAGTATATGCATTTTTTTCATTTAAATAAATATATACATATGTAATGTAGTGTGCACAATACGTTTACATACATACACTGCATATTATTTCTAGTCCAACTATCTCAATCTTTCTTATTTTTGGACGAGCAATTTTTCATCCCACTTTTTTTAATCCTATCATTGTCGTCGTCTTCATCACGCCACTGCTTCTCTTTTCGAGACTCCATCATAAACAGCGCGCCATATTTTGTTTATGGACGCGCCGGTTCTACCTGTGTTTTTCAATTTTTGTTGTTCTTCATTGCCTACCGTATGACGTCGTTGCACACGTACTAGCAACACACACACTCACGCATACACACACGCACGCACACACACGCACACACACACACACACAAACACACACACGTTTAGAATAACATGTATGTTTAAAGGCAATACACTCATATCTATTTTTGTACGGTACAACTTTCACTTCTTCTTATTTTGGATCATTTAGTTTTCTTAATGTCATCCTTGTCTTTATCCTTTTTTTACATTTGGGATTGACAATTTGGAATTAGAGATTTGGAAATGAAAATTTGGAATTAGACATTTGTAAGTTGAGATTTAGGATCAAAGTTTATTTAGCGTTGAGTCACATTTTCGAAAAAATTGTAGAGCGTTAAATAATGTAAGTTGCGTGATGAATGTTTCTATAGCGTTGTTTAAATTTCTAAATATTCATAGATAATATAACCGTCCTATCGCAAACTATTAATTAATTAATTTTAATTAATTAGTTTTAATTAATTAATTTTAATTAATTTATTAGGATTCCCGTGCCAAATAACTCAACCCTACTCTCTAATTGGCTTCTTCAAGTTTCAAAATGAGGCTCGCTACAAATTTTAATCTCGTGTGAAAAAACACCACATGTTCGTAAAATCAGTATAGAAATAGAGGCGTGGGTATTATGTTCCCCTTTAAAACAAGGAAAATATGTTTCAAATGAAACTTCAAATGAACGCTCGAAACAGCCTGCTTATTTGTTTACCGCCAATCAGGCATAACCGCACCAGAAGGCGCCTGTAGCTGCCAGCTACCCTCTCAACATCCAGCCATCTAGTCACATAATCTCTCAACCTATTTATCTAATCATTATTCACTCGTGTTATCATTTAATTAACACATGCATCAGATCATCCAGCAACCATCTCAGTTGCTACTTTTAAAATCAAAGTGGGTATGAATTTAGACCAGAAAAACATGCAGCACACTCACTATACGCAGCTTATGATGAATGTTTGCTTACTGAATTAAAAAAAATTTTTTTCGGTACTTTGTACAATCGTTTGTCAGTGAATCATTTTCAGTTTCATAGATCTGCTGTATAAATAAATTACTGGGCTTGTTAAAAAATTTGTTTGCCATTTGTAGTGAGGTTTATAGAATAACGTCTGAATAATTTGAATCATGCAAATGTAATTAAACACATTGCAATGCAATTTTTTCATCTTTCCAATTCTAACAAGACAACTAACACAATACAATACAACACAATACAATATACAATACAATACAATACAATACAATGCAATGCAACGCAACGCAACATAACACAACACAATACAATACAACACAATGCAATACAATACAACACAATACAATAAAATACAATACTATAAAATCTTTGTTTTTTTCTCCTCAACAATCAATATTAAATTTAACTGAACCATAAACATTGCGTTTTGAAATAAAATCCATAGAACGCTTTCGCGTAAACAACTCAATCAAAAACACTGCATCACCACACTCTGACATTATCGTAGTCTAAAAACACCCACAAACATACACACTTACACACACAGACACGCACACACACACACACACACACACACGCACACACACACAATCATCATTATAACAGCTATTGAGTGTTAGTTACGTAGAATTATATGATAGCTCGTCATATTTGTACCTTCCATATCACAGTGCGAATAAACTAGCCCGTAAAAACGTGGTTTTTAAAAATTAGGTCAGAAATGAGGATGAGAGAGAGAGAGAGAGAGAGAAGAGAGAGAGAGAGAGAGAGAGAGAGAGAGAGAGAGAGAGAGAGAGAGATAGAACAAAAGTTATAAAAGAAGTAAAAGGCTAATAATGAGAACTGTGATGAAAAAGTTATGATAAAAATACGAATTTATATTTTTTTATTTAATTCATTTCAATTTCAAAACAATACAATTGGCTTAGTTGGTGTAATTAAGTTAGTTCTTCTTAAGAAACACCCACAGCTGCGTGCGGCGTAGAATATAAAACCAGACAACATTCGGCGGAATAGATTTATGACGGAGAAAGCTGTGGTATTTACTCATTCACTCACTCACACACACGCACGCACACACAGACACCTCATACACCACACATACACACACACATTTAAAAACTGACTCACATAGAGCGCGAAAGTCGATCATATAGATTTAAAAAAAATTGTATGTCGGAACGGTCGGATCATATCAATTTTTGGTTTCTTAAAATCGGAACGCACAGGCTC